CTCCATACACGCTGATATTGGCAACGATATTCTCTTCGTGAACTTTCCAACTAACATATCCGCGAATCTGTCAGAACCCAAAATCCTCTAAAGTGCGAAATTTGATGAAAAAGTTAAAGCTTTGAGGACAGAATTACATTACTATTGAAACTGCAGCAATTTCATGATTCGAAAGATTTGGCACTTACGGAGATTTCTCATATTCCAAAAAAGTGAAATTACAAACCGTCTACGTAATATTTTGAAAAAAATTTGCGCAAAACAAAACGCTAGTCAATGCAAACGACCCACCCGGGGTCCAGCGAAATTAACTCCGAGTTTTCTATGTGGGGTCAATATGGTCTCTACAACGCTTTTATAATTGTTCACCCGCGTGCGCCAATCCAGCACAGCATCGTCTGGTTCAGTCGTTCCATTAATCTAAGCGTGATATCATGATAATGCTGGGCAAATTTTTGAAAGGAGAAAGTAACCTTGTGAAAGTACTCGTTGATCAGTTTCTTTGCTTCTCTCTCATCATGTGGAAGCTCCAATTCACTGTATTCAAAATTTTCGAATCCCATGTCGGCTCGATCTGTAAAAACCATGACTATTTCTCTTCTTGACACTGGCAATTGAAAAAAGGAAAAATTATTGATGAGCATTAAGGACCTACGTTTAACGCCATCATCCTCGTCATCCTCTTCGTACGTGAGAGCTGCAGTAAACTTTGCATTCTCCAAAGCGTTCATCAACTTTAACTTTACCAAAGGCTCACAGTGATCTACCTAATGAAATAAACTTTTACCTTGAACCTCTAATACCAGAATCATAGAAACCCACAAGGTCATGTCCCATCGGAGAAGGTGTGATTACTGTTGTGGTTCCCCCACAAGCGGCACTTTTCCGCTTTGCACCCACTACAGGAGGTCCTTCACAAAACGGTGGTGGGTGGAATGTGCAACTCGTACGTAAGTAATCAGCAAGTAATAGAGAATCAGACAAATGAGAAGCAAGGTGAGCCCTTAAAACATCATGCAAATAAGATGAATTGAAGGAAAAAATAAGTTCTAAGAAAACTT